CTAGTTAGATGTTTTATTGTTAGCTAACTGGTGGTTTGTTGTACTAGTTAGATGTTTTATTGTTAGCTAACTGGTGGTTTGTTGTACTAGTTAGATGTTTTATTGTTAGCCAACTGGTGGTTTGTTGTACTAGTTAGATGTTTTATTGTTAGCCAACTGGTAGTTTGTTGTACTAGTTAGATGTTTTATTGTTAACCAGCTGATGGTTTGTTGTACTAGTTAGATGTTTTATTGTTAGCCAGCTGGTGGTTTGTTCAGTTATTGGTGGTTTATTGTTAACCAACTGGTGGTTTGTTGTACTAGTTAGATGTTTTATTGTTAGCTAACTGGTGGTTTGTTGTGTTATTGGTGGTTTATTGTTAACCATCTGGTGGTTCGTTGTACTAGTTTGATGTTTTATTGTTAACCAGCTGATGGTTTGTTGTACTAGTTAGATGTTTTATTGTTAACCAGCTGATGGTTTGTTGTACTAATTAGATGTTTTATTGTTAACCAGCTGATGATTTGTTGTACTAGTTAGATGTTTTATTGTTAGCCAGCTGGCGGTTTGTTGTACTAGTTAGATGTTTTATTGTTAACCAGCTGATGGTTTGTTCAGTTATTGGTGGTTTATTGTTAACCAACTGGTAGTTTGTTGTACTAGTTAGATGTTTATATTGTTAACCAACTGGTGGTTCGTTGTACTAGTTAGATGTTTTATTGTTAGCCAGCTGATGGTTTGTTGTGTTAGTTAGGTGTCTTATTGTTAGCTATGTGGTGGTTTGTTGTACTAGTTAGATGTTTTATTGTTAGCCATCTGGCGGTTTGTTGTGTTATTGGTGGTTTATTGTTAACCATCTGGTGGTTCGTTGTACTAGTTAGATGGTTTATTGTTAGCCATCTGGCGGTTTGTTGTGTTATTGATGGTTTATTGTTAACCAGCTGATAGTTTTGTTATTTTATTGGTGAATTTCATTTTCTACTGAATTTATGAGAATAGAACGTAGAATTTTTTATTCTTATTTTCAGTCCATAAATTATGATGATGAATTTAATATTTGACGAAAGTGTTTAGTTTTAAAGTGCATAGACAGGCAATGTAACCCTACTTTCATGTCTGCTGATTTATTTGTAAACTAAACAGTCCTAAACAAACTTGGTTCATTTCTTTATGATATCAGTCTACTCATGTCGGCTAATCTATTAGTAAAGTGAACTCCTGAACACATTAGTCACCAGTCTGGTTCCGCGTTAAGAAGTAGAACAAGTTTAAAATCAACACCTTCTGGAATTGGAAACACTAATTTCTAAAATATACTGATGGATAAGTTATTAGATTCATCTCCTGTTAAAAGATATATTTCTTAGAATGCTTACGAGCTACC